CAGCCTCATTGTCGATTGATTTCCCCTCCTACTTACCTAGCACTCGACATAAGCCTAACCTCAATATTGCTCACCTTATTATATCACCAACTAACACGGGAGATAGAACGCAGGCACCTATAATCGAAGACAGCTAATCTTTTCATGTCTTCCACTCTCAATGGCCAGGTCTCACAGCTAGCCATAAAGGAGGACGGATCGGACTGCTGATGAGCAGTACACACACCCTTTGGTCGATATTCGGATATCACGTCTACGCCAGAGACGGCGTAAACTGGCGGGCGTATGCGAAACAAGCCCTCTGTATTCGTTTTGAGATTTCGTCAGAGATCAACCCGTTGGCACTGGCTGATGGTACGTGCTCTACCACTTCACTTCCTATTTCTAATCTAGAGGTCGATGAAGTTCAATCCTGCAGCATCACCTTACATTTGGCGGGAGCGAATCGCATGCCAAACATACGAAGATTGTTGCTCAAGGTGTTCAGTAGACTCTGCTGGATTTTGTCAGCGTCCTCGCTTAGAAGGACTATATCGTCCGCATATTCTAAGTCGACGAGATTATTCCCTGGTAGCAAGTCAATCCCTGAGTCGCTGAAGTGTGTTAGGATTAAGTCCATTTGTACGTCTATGATGAAGTTGAATAGGAATGGGGATAATGGGCATCCTTGACGGACGCCACTAGTCGTCACCACTTCAGATGACAACTCGCCATAAGCCCTCACCTGGCTGCATGAGTACGAGTAGAGTGAGTGCCTTAATCAGTGCAATGTACTTTCTCGGCATTCCCTTTATACTACTACCATTACTACTACTAATTCTTATGCGGAAATGTATAAATTTAGAATGAACACTGAGCTGGTTATTTTATTGGACTGGCAAGGACTGAAAAATGCAATTCATACTTCCTTCCTTCCTTCTAACACTTCCCGACTCGTGTTTTCCCAGTCTCATATATAGACGAATAAACTACCTCTCCTTTCTTGAATCTAATGGAGAAATTATTGTTAGTAAATCTTGTCCCCCCCCCCTAAGCTTCTCAAATGATCCAAAGCAGTTTGCTCTCAAACAGGGTAGAAGTACATTAGACGCTGCTGCTGTGTTTCATCACAATATTGTATCCTCCCTCCGTAGACAAAGGGACCAAGTATGTCCATTGTACGTTCCTTCATTATTATACATCTGCTTTCGACTCTGTACTTAGAGGCCTTTTGTTAAACAAACAAGCTTAGCCTTACACAAACTGAGTCCTGAGCTATCAACTGGCTGCACTCTTACTTCTCTAATAGGATGCAGTACACGGTATATATAATGCTGTATCTTCCTCTCCTTTGCTTACTGAAGCTGGAGTTCCTCAGGGTGCTGTTCTCTCTCCGTTTCTCTTTTCCTTCTTCTTACATGACTTACCTCTTTCTATATTGAAATCAACTTCGTCAAATATGCTGATGACCTGTCTGTATCGTTTCCCATTAACTCTAAGTCAGACTGTTTCAAATTAAATAGCTTCCTGTCGGACATCAGTCAGTGGTCTAAACTAAATGGTCTCATGCTGAATCCCCCAAAATACCAGACCATTGACTTCTCTCTTAGGCATAAACGAGATCTACAAACACTAGTAAGTTCTCATGAAGCCTGTTGCATTGAGGGGACTAAAATTGAAACTAAGTCTAATGCAAAATACCTCGGTCTAGTTCTATCTTCCGACCTTACTTGGACATCTCATATCCTAACGATTTCTAAGAAATTGTTTCGTCTAACCTACCACATTAGGAACTTAGACTATCTGAAATCACCCAACCTCTACTTTCACAATTTGTCAACTCTCGTATCTTACCTATTCTACTTTACTGCTCCCCGTTAGTCTTTCCTGGTCTACTGAAAAAGGACTATACCATCCTGAGAAGGATGTTGAAGGTAGTTAGTAGGACTAGTGGTGTAAAACTCAGTCAGCTCGTCACTACATTAATTGAAAGACATCTGAATACATGCGAAAAATGGTCTAAAACCATACTCTCCGACCCCCAACACCCCCTCTATTCCCAACTCTCGCCTTGTATCTCATCAAGTAGAACCAGAAATCAGTATAAAATAATCTATGCTCGTACAACCAAGTACAGGAACTCAACGATACCATACTTGGCCCGTGTTCTAAGTGACAGAGACAATGTTAAGCGCGAAACCTATGACTTGCTTTGTTGTTAATAACATAATTTTAGGCTCTTTTATTTCTCTCTTATTTTGTATTCTATAGTGAACACCTTCTTAAACATACTTAGCTACCTAAATTATTAACATTGGCTTACTTTTTTGTACTTTATTCTATACCTTCTTTTGTGTATCCACTGGTTCCGACTATATTAGCACTATGAGTATTACAAAATTGTCCTGTCATTAACCATCATGTAATTATTAGTTTTGTGGTTGTTTTTTTCTTATTTTTTATTTTTTTCGGCAATATTAACCGAAAATCTTGGTTGTGAACGCCATTATTATCACCATCTTAAAATTTTGTATTATGCAGGATTACTCACACACTACCACCACAAACACCGCATTAGACCTGACAATAAAAAACAAAATAACAAACCCTGAAATGTTCTTTTATGATTGTTTAGTGTTGTTTCAACCTAAATTAACTGATCATCTTGGCGATAAACATAGTCGTAAATATCATTTCATAACTTCTTGTATGAACTAAAGCTTTACTGTCACCACGCAGGAACATATCACAGCTTCCACTGCCCAATACTGAGATATTATTTATTATGTGCAGTTTATTTTCCTTTCTACTTCTTGGTATTTTTTCGCATTTTTAAAAAATTATTTTGTGTTTCACCTGTCTCTTTTTCTTGCTGTTGGTGTCTTTATATTTTTTTTTTCGCAATAATCCTTTTAAACGTTTGATAAACTTAGATGCAAATATTGTAGATATGTGCTGAAAATTCCACACTGTACTGTACCTTGTAGTACTGTTTCCGGAATAAAGCAAATTATTATTATTATTATACATTTGATGGTTCTCTTCAAAGATCGATCTACAGAAAACCAACATGGAATGAATGGTCAGTATACAAATTTCCATAGTTGAGTCTCTTTGAGAAGAAAGAGAAATCATCTGATCTCTCCTTATCCCCAAGAATAAGGTGTATATGTTCCAGTGTGGTACAATCGATGGGGAACTGGGGCAACTCAAACAAGTCCTCTCCTCCAAGATTTATCGAGAAAATCATGAAGTTAAGGGAAAAGCCTGAAAGAATCCAGACGGTGCCGAAAAGAAACTGCTAATTATGAGTGTTGAATTTTAAGGTGATACCACAGTTGAAATCCTGAAGAATTGCTGCTTATGCAGGTTTCTGAGGAAAGCCTTGTTTATGGCTGAGATACGTATCAATTTCTACAGTCGACAAATGATCAGTGGATGGGTGAAGGATAAACTGCCGCTTTGGACAGCCATCTCAATGTGTGTTTATAAATTCACCTGCTCGTGTGGAGCTATTTATATTGGCCGCCCGCACAACTTGGCGAACACTTTCCAAACGCATCTCTGAACATTATCCGGTATGGTTAGCAAAGGGACAATGCAAGACGGTTACTAGCTCAATTCTCGAGCATTTGGTGAACTCAGGTCACGTAGCTCCACCAGAGTCGTCTTTCAACATCATCTACAAAGTGAAGCCAAATGGTACAAAGGGCGTCAGGTTTCGACTTTTGTGTATGGCGGAGGCACTGTCAATTCGTCAATACAACCCCCAACTCTGTATGCAGACAAAAAGTTTGTCCAGCCTCTTATTCTACCTTGGTCTTGACCTCTTCACTAGTCGTTCCCTGCAAAAAGCTTTGATTTTTCTTTTCTTTTTTTTTTCAATTTTAATTTCAGTTTGCTTTTGCTTTAATAATTAATTCACTATTATCACTCTCATATGCTCCCTGTTGTACATTTTTACACCCTCTTGACACACTTGTTAAATTGACACTCAACTACCACCTTTATTCTCACTCACTCAATAGAAATTCTAACCTTATCAAATTTCTACGTTTGTGCCGTTGAGTACCACGTAATTTACAACTTTTAATTTTTTACTTCTAAAGCCACTTCTGAGTAATTATATCAATTATGTCACCCCAACCCATATTACTCAATAATAGACCACAATATATTTTTGGTAAGGATAAATACGACTGTACAGCCAGCCTGTGAAGATGATTTCGTCGACAAAGAAAATTTTATTCGCTTAATTTGCCTTTTATTTTCTTCAAAACAACAACAATAACAACAGTACCCCACAACAACATCGAATGTTCAGGATATACGAAAATGCAGATACTAGAAGTGCTTTTTCATGTGGTTGTGTTCTCTGAGCTAACTGGATAGTTAATTTGCTAAGCTTTCGTCACCCTACTACTAGGCAAGCGACATCTTCCTTCAGTGCATACACTTCAATTTCAATTGTTGTTGTTGTTGTTTTTAAATTTATTTTTTGAAATACTCCTTTTAAATGTTTGATAAAATTAGATGCAAATATTGTAGATATGTGCTGAAAATTCCACACTGTACTGTACCACTTGTAGTACTGTTTCTGGAATAAAGCAAATTATTATTATTATTACTGTTATTATTATTAGAAAGTCAGTCCGAGTGTCTTATCGACAGAACAGAAAACACGATTCAATACTACTACGGTATATTATTTCCTCCGACGAGAAATGCAATCAGTTTGAAAGCTATTCATAAGAACATACCGTAATTCGAAGCTCCTCAAGCAGATACAGAAATACTGAAGACGACAAACGGAATGCTGAGATTTCTAAGCAATACTACTACTACTACTACTACAAAAGCTACTTCTAATGATAATTTGAAAAAATTTATAAATTTTAATTTCATATACATATATATAGATAGATACATATATATATAAGATATAAGGGTTTACAAAACTCTTTCATAATATATGTATTATATTGATTGATTGATTGTGTGTGTGTGTGCGTGTATATCATTTACATTATGTAATGCGATATCTCTGAATTCATGGCTGGATCGCTTTTCACAGAGAATCGCTTCTCATGCACTACTCCTACTCCTGCTGAATGACCAGTTGTCTGAACGTCTGAATGATTTCCAACAAGATGATTCGGTGATGTAGTACCACCACTACCAATACCGACAGCAGCAGTAGGATTATTGGTGCCATTACTGTTGCTGTTGTTGTTAAGCACCTGAGTTGTTGCTGTTGCTGGTGTTGACTTAGCCCGATTCAAATGCATATGTGCTCTGACCAGATCATCCGTATCCAATGCTGCCATCAGGCTGAGTTCTGCAGCAAGTACAGTTCCAGCAATCAAGCGTGACAAGTGTTCCGTTGGCCGATCGACGCTTAAATCCAATAGGTCAAGACATGCACGTTGTGCTGGCAATCGGGTGCCACCACCAACTGTACCAACTTCTAAACATGGCATTGTAACACTGGCGATCAATGAATCATCGGAGGAATCAACTTCCAGTTGGGTTAAACACGCGGAGGAATCAACCACCTTGAGAGAGAGAGGAAAAATAGCAACGAAAGAAGAATAAAAAATCAATAACACATCGAAACGAAATAAATTTTTATTATTTCGAGGAAGAGAAACTGCAGTGAATAGAATAAATTCCCACTCACTCACTGTGTAGCATAAAGTCACTTACGTAACTGTTTAGTGTTCAGTCACTCACCAACTCGATATACTGAACATTTTGGTGGATGCGTGTCTGTCTGCATGTGTGTGGGGGGTGAAGTTGTAGACACAAAGACTCCTCTAGTTCCAAGTCTATGGTGTTTGGGAAACTGGGGGGGGGGCAATGAGGAAACAGGCATAAAATGGACTCACACAAAAAACTTGGAGGAACTGGACTTCGCTGATGATATATGTCTGATTTCCCACAAACTGGAAGATATGCAAGCGAAAAGCAGCAACAAGTTGGCAGAGGAAGCATCCAGCCAAGACAGGACTTCAGGTGAACATAGAGAAAACAGAGGTAATGAAGATTCCTGGGCAACAACAACAGCAACAACAGACAAGGATCAGCCAGCGTGAATGGGAGGAACCTGAAAGAAACAACCACGTTTACCTACCAACATGGGAAGCATCGTTTTAACTACAGGCCGACGAAACTGACGACGATATCAAAGCAAGACAAGCTTTCACTACTCTCAAGTCTGTGTGGAGATCAACAGCACTAATCAGCATGAAAACGATGATAAGATCCGGATCTTCAGCCCCAGTGTGACGTCAGTCAGTGTTACTCACTATACGGATTAGAGACTTGGCTAGCGCGTCATAAAGACCATCTCAAGCAAACTACAGACCTTCATTAATAGTTGTCTTCGCTCAATACTCAAGATCAGATGGCTGGCCGGTCAGAAAAGATCAGCAACACGGATCTCTGGCAATGAGCGAACCGACACAGCAGGAACCGATTGTGAAACAAATAGGCAGGAAGAAATGGAGATGGACTGGCCATACTTTGAGAAAACGAACCATCAAGTGACATCACTAGACAAGCCATTGCCCGAGTGGAACCCGACCGAATGGGAAGCAGCGAGTTGGTCGTCAGTGCAACGGTGACTTCGAGGAGGAGGTCATGTGAAGAGGAGATGAAAACGTGTGGTTGGCAGACTTGGAGCCAGGTGAAGACTCTAGCAGAGAACCGAACGCAATGGAGACGCACGGCTGAAGCCCTATGTTCCCCTAGGAATTCAAGGAAACAATAATAATAAGAATGTGTCTGCGTGCGTGTGTGGGGGGAGTGGAGGGTTGTAGACACAAGGACTCTATCTAGTTCCAAGTCTATCGTGTTTGGGAAACTAGAGTGCTTGCTTTAACATCATTTACACCAAACATGACCATTCCTTCACATGAACTGTGATCAAGATTTGACCGAATACAGTTGCAAAATATAATTGAGTGCCGAGTGAGAAGTAGACACATTTGTAAAATCTCAGTGAAATTGAAATGAGCAATTCCAACGTTTCCTGCGTTCGTCGCCATCTGGTACGAACTTCTTTTGCAGGGAAATTAATCGAAATTAACATAACAGAGGTTTATACGCAGAAAAGGGGGACATCTCTTGCTCTTTTTAAAAACTTTGTCCAATCATCATATGAATCATGAAACAGGTATCAAAATGTTCTATAATAAACAAAGCATTGTATGAACTGTGGTCAAAAGTTGACCTCAGACTTTCAAAATTAGTCTCCTTATGTTAAAATATATATGTGTATATGCAGTATACAATGGTTTGTGTGTACGTGTAGGAACAGTTATAAGGATATATAGACAATCGGGAATTTGACCAAGTATGATTAATTGTTGATACATATCCAATTTTTATTTATTAGTCAGGATTTGCCATGCATCAGCTAACAAACATCACACCGCACCTTCACGTCTGTTCAAACTGTTGGGATTCACCCACATACATATGCAGGGCTTCTGCAGTCAGTCAGTCTTTCTTTATATGAACCAAAACCTTTCTGTAGAACCTTAGGTCTTATCAAAGTCGATTTTGTGTCCCGTTTCTATCGAATGCAGTGCAGTGCAGTGCAATCGCTGAGTTGTTTTCTAGCTTCTTCAAATCTGCAGAGGTCTTTGGAACCACACCATCTTTAGACATTGTTTATGCTCTTTCACCCTTATATATTTACCTGTCTGGAAGTTTCTCCTACATATACGGCGTTACAATCCCCACAATTGATCTGGTACGTATACGCAATTCTGCTGGTTTTGCTTCTTCTTCTATTTTATCCTTAACCTTCACCAGTGATGAGCGTAAGGTGTGTTAGTTGCACGAAAATACACTCTTATATTGTCATGATCGTTAAGGATTCGCTTTATTTCATCGGATGTTTCTTCTTTGCGGTAAGGAATCACCGCTTTTTTTTTCCTTCACGTTCCCCAGTGGAACATAGGGTCTCAAGCTAGTGGCTTGAAGTTTCTGTGGCAGTGTTTATTTAATAGGATGGGGTTGCTAGCCTCATGTCTAACCTTTCCTCTTTACCAGAATTATTTCTGGCTTAGCGAGGTAAAGGAGTGCGTCGGTCGGGGATCGAACTCCGGACCATGTGCATGGTCGGCGAGCGTCCTAACCACTATGCCACCGACGCACAATCACCGCTGTAGTAACCCAATTCTTAACAGCAGGTTTCGATTCATCCTTATCTTCACATTTTAAACATCTTTTTATGAAGGCTTTAGAATAATTATTTGATTCAAGAGTGGATTGAAGAAATTTTAGTTCCCTGCTGATCTCTTCCTCCTCAGTAACTAGACGTTTGGCTCTGTTGATCAGAGTCTTGACTGTTCACCCACTCACATACAAACCATTGTATACTGCATATACACACATATATTTTAACATAAGGAGACTAATTTCGAAAGTGTGAGGTCAAATTTTGATGACAGTTCATACAATGTTTTGTTTATCATATTACATGCTGATACCTGTTTCATGATTCATATAATGATTGGACAAAGTTTTTAAAAATAACAAGAGATCTCCCCCTTTTTTCTGCAATATAAACCTCTGTTATGTTAATTCTGATTAATTTCCCTGAAGAAGAAGTTCGTACCAGATGGCGACGAACGCAGGAAACGTTGGAATTGCTCATATTTAAATTTCGCTGAGATTTTACAAATATAGATTAATATTTTACAAATGTGTCTACTTCTCACTTGGCACCCAATCATTATTTTGCAACTGTATTCGGTCAAATCTTGATCACACTTCATATGAATTGTATTGTGTTACTTGCATCGGTGGTTGACGCACGCACACACGCAAGTTATCTATCTACATTCGACTACCCACCAACCGACCCACCACGGTGCACTTCAACATCTCGGCTAGTCCACTTACTAACCAAATAGTGTTGGCCAAGAATAGGAAAGGAAGGATGGAAGGAAGGCAGCAAGGCAGGTTGAAGAACAGCAGCAGCAGACCAGCAACCCACACCTTCATCACGTAAAACTAACAACATTCCTACTGAACCTTCAATGCTTGACACCACTTCAAGCCCTGTAGAATGCAAAGGGAGAGTGAAAAATCCCTTGTCTATTAGGACTTGTATACACCCACAAAAACAGAAAAAGAAAACAATATACAATTATCAAAAATCGATAACACTGTGTTGTTTCTCCATGCATGACATATATACGTACTTGAGCTAAATCTTGCCCCGTCGCAGCAAACATTCCAGCGATAATATTCGCCGCGTGAGCATTCGATCCCATCATACCTGAACAGCCGGCCAATGCTGATCCCAGCCAATTTTTCGAATGTGCTAATCGTGCTAACCGATGTGCAGTGGTGTGTAACACCTGAGCTAACACGCTGGCGGGAAGACGTGCTTCAGCGATGACAGATTTACCACGGCCGAGAATTGTATTGATCGTCGCGGGTTTCTTGTCTGTACACATATTTCCACTGATAGAAATTACCTGTGTGTATGGATGGAAATAAAAGAAAATTACAAAAGGAGAAAACAGTCAGTTAGTCAGCTTAGGCCATGAAAACAAAGAAAGTCATACACGAACTGTATTAAACATACAAAACCATGTTGATCCTCATAATTAATACCATGTACGTAATTCCATGTAATGTACACACACACACACACACGGATCAATGGTGTTCGAGGCTGTCTGCCTGTCTGTCTGTTTTCGACATAGAACCACTTTGCACATATGTGCGGCAGTTCAAGTCGCCACACTCCCTCCACTCCATGTAGCACACAAAGCAAGAGAAGAAAGTTAAAAGAAATGCATAATAGAGAGAGACAGTAAACAGAGGTGTGGTGAGACAAAGGAATAGTAATAACAAAGAACAATGCAGTTCCATTGGAAATCATAAGTCACAAGGAGTGGATGCATCTGCGCCAGACAGCCATTGAGAACGATTTTGAGCCGGCCATATCACCAATTGTTTCCAGCGTTCATTGGTTTTCACCGTCATCCCGAGGACCCCAACCAGTCAGGAAGCCAGTCTACACCTTCCTACGTGGCTGGCTGGCTGGCTTAAACTAACTGTTGTGGATTTCATTGACTCCTGAAGCCATGACCAGCACTGCCTCTTTCCTAATCTCTCTCTATGTCAGCTACCATCGCCCGTTGTTGAGGAAGGTGATGCCTACGCAGGCATACGTAGCACATGTCCTAACCATCTCAGTCGATGTAATTTCACAGTCTCGTCTATTGATTTGCCCTCCCAACTACCTATCACACGACCTATACCTAACCTCAATATTGCTCAACCGATTATACGACTTCACGCGGGAGACAGAACGCAGACACCTATGATCATGTCTTCCGCTCTCAATGGCCAGGTCTCACATCTAGCCAGTCATAAAGGAGGACGGACCAGACTGCTGATGAGCAGTACACACGCCCTTTCGTCGATAGTCGGATGTCAAGTCTACTAAGCCAGAGACGGCGTAAACTGGCGGGCGTGTGCGAAACTAGCCCTCTGTGTATCCTTACTCAGCTGAGATTTCGTCAGCGATCAAACCATTGGCACTGGCTGTGATGGTACTTCCCAAGTAAGTGAAGCGGCCAACGTGCTCCACCAACCACTTCACTTCCTATTTCTAATCTAGGAGTCGGTGAAGTCCAATCCTGCAGTATCATCTTACATTTTATAGGACATGAGAGAGAGAGAGAGTCAAAACACGTTCACTGTAAGTAAGTAAGTGAGTAAGTGAAGTAAACGTATGGTGACAGTTTTGTTGTTGAAAACTCTGTAAAAACACCAAAACAAAAATAACACTAAACACATACAACAGAAATGACTCAATGCAAATACCAGAGATATGCATGGAAGATATCATAACCACCAGTCAGTAAGTCAGTGAAATCAGAGGAGGATAATAAATAATCTTAAATTGTATTCTATTTCAATTCAATTCACGTACATCACAACATTCCAAAAAGTTACTTATTATGACTATAACAGAAACACTCGTTTTATTTCCCATCTGATTGTACTTGATCAATAACACTTATATTATTATTATTATTGATTTAATGATATGTGATAGTTGGAGGCAATCGGCGCCAGAGGAAGCCTTACCCGGACCTAGGTTTCGTGCTAGTTGGCACTAACCACCGGTCAGTCAGTCAGCAAGGCGTATCCGCAACCACATTGAAGGAACTCATATCCCTTCTGAATTCCCAGTATCTAATATATCAACAATTCACAATGCACCGTGATGGCGAGCTACCTAGTGGCATGGTGGCCACATTGCAAACCTGACTGACTGTCTGACTGACTGATAGAATTCAGTTTGCATCAAAGAAAGGACTAGCCAGACACCTCACACTGGTTACTGAATAGTGTCCATTCAAAATAACCACTACACTACAGTCCTACAGGAGGTCAATCGCGAACCAGCCTGAATAGCTCAGTTGTAACGTCTCTGACTGCAGGCAGCACTGGGTGATGCGGGTTCAAATCTCAGGTGGGTGGGACATGAAGTGTTCCTTCAATGTGGTTGCAGATACGCCTTGCTGACTGACTGACCGGTGAGTGCCAACTAGCACGAAACCTAGGTCTGGGCAAGGCTTCCTCTGGCCGATTGCCTCTAACTACCTAATATATAAACACTCGTCTTATTTCCCATCTTATTATTGTATTTGATCAATAAAACTCATGTTATTATTATTATTTCTGAATGTACATTATCCCATATTACTGATTTGTATTCAAATATCTAATCATCAATTCCACTCATGTATATAAATGAAGGAAGACGAAAGTTGTGTGAGTGAGTGAGTGACTTGATATGATGATTATGAGTGGCAATAATAAATTGTGCTCAAAGCGTGCGGTCGCATCAGTTCATATTACTTACTGTATAACACTACACACAAACACTGTGAGTGACAGTTTATCAAAACAGAAAATCTTATCCATAATGGAGTAGTTATATGCTGCTCTACCACCGCCACAGTGCCCGCCCAAGTTTTCTACTTATACCATAAACAAAATGCTTATTGGTTACAGGATTTCATTATCAGATGAAATAGGACGAAACAGCTGTCCACTAGTCCCTGTGGCTGGTTTTCCAATGGTTCTCTAACCAGTGTCAGCTCATGATGAAATCCTGTAACCAATCAACCAAATCCCTACAAACCAATGCTTGAATATCAATAAGATGCACACTGGCGACTGGCCCTATTCAGGTAGGTAGATACCTGGGGTTCCAGTGGGAAATCGTGACCAGTAGGGTGCAGCAGGTCGGGTGTGAGGACAAATACTCGCGCTATATCGTGAATTGGCAGAAGTTAGAATTCACGGGCCATTGGATCGGGTCCCAGTTGCTTAATGGTCTACGGGCTTGCTGGCCTTGTAACCAGAAGGTCCTGGGTTCGAACATGGGCGATGGGTGCGTACTGATGAAGAGTCCCAAACTAGGACGAAACAGCTGGTTGTCCAGTACTCCCAGGTTTTCCAATGGTTCTCTAAACAATGTCAGCTCATGGTGAAATCCTGCAACCAATCAACCAATACTTGAAAATGCTCATTATTAGGTATATTAAAGTGCATAACAGCAAATGACAAATCGTCATTTATTCATTCCTTCATTTACCTGCATACTACTAAACTGTTTTTGAAGACAATGCAAAGCACTATCCGTTGCTTTGCTTACCATATTCATACCCATAGCATCCCCCGTCCGAGCTGCAAATCGAATATGAACGTATCGACCAGCCTGATGATGAACAAGAAAAACACAAAACAGAAAAAGCATCAGAGGTGTAAATTGTAATCAACAGAAATGGAAATTCATCTTTCAAAAACGGGGGTTTTCATTCACTTAGCCTTACCTTAGCCTTGTGTATCACACATCCGATAAATTGAATTCATTCTACGAATATGGCTAATTCAGTCTCTTATACACGTGCACCAATCAATCACGCATGAGTCAGTGCTTCTACACACGGTTGAAAGAGACTTGGCGTGTCACAGAAAGCATTTCTGACATGCTACTGCAGATTTTTATCATTAACAGCTGCCTCCACTCCGCGCTGCACACACAGTGAAGATCACACGGCTAACGAGGAACTTTAGCGACGGACGAACCAACCAAGGAAGGACCTATCGCTAAACTGTTGTCTGTCTGTCTGGATTCAACATAGAACTTGGCACCGAAGTGCAGCAGTTCGAGTTGCCACGTTCCAAATAGCACACAAAGGTAGACAAGAAGATGGATGAGTGAAGAGAATCAATAGAGTTTTGACAAGTATAAGAGTGAAACAGAATGAATGAGTAATGGTAGAAAGGAATATGAAAGATTACACAAGAGACTGAATACATCTGCGTAAGCCATTGACAACGATTTTGAGCCATGTATGTCACCTATTGTCTGTCTCCAGCCTTGATTGATTCTTAGAGTCCCGAGGGCGGGCCCCAACCACCAGGAAGTCTGCATCTCCCTCCCTACCTGACTGACTCAGTTTAACTGTCAAGGATTTCATGGATTGATTGAGGCCATGTTTTTGTTTGGCATGTCACCACTTACTCTTTTCCAACCTGCACCTATATCAGCTAGTAATGCCCGTCGGGAGGGGGAGGCGATGGTTAGGCATGCGCAGCACGTCACCTAGCCATCTCAATCTATGTAACTTTATAGCCTCGTCGATTGATTTTCCCTCTTTGCCCAACACTCTACGCCTAACGTCAACATTACTTACCTTATTATACCACCTAACGCGAGAAAGAGATCGTAAACATCTATGATCAAAAACAGTCAACCTTTTCATGTCTTCAACTCGTATTGGCCATGTTTCAGAGAGCCATAGAGAAGGACGGAGCGAACTGTTGAGCAGTACACACGTCCCTTGGTTGATAGCCGAATGTCACGCCTACACCTGCCAGAGATGGAGTAAGTTAGCGAAAGCAGCTCGCTAAACATCAATATGCAAACGAAAACTGAGATATGCATTGGATATATACGCTGACGGCACCAGACCCTCGAGTGGAACCCAGATAGAAAAGGATAAGTTGTGAGTGCGTCTGACTGTGACATGGAGATAGATGATCGTGTGAGGAAGTGACAGCCTACGGGGGGGAGTCTTGGAGTCAAGTGAAGAGCACTCACTCACTGTAGAGAGAGCAGGACGAGATGGAGTTGTGTTGTTGGAGTCCTATGTTCCACTCGTCACCCAACGGAATAATAATAATTCAGTCTTCGAAATCGAGGTGGGAGGCACTGTATCGAACCTAGACATTAAACAATGCACTCACATACCTCCCCCCCCCACCCAAGTAAAGTAACTGCTTAGCTACACAAACAAACTTAATGATCTTACACCATATAGTTGAAAAGTATGAAACTAATGTATAAATGCCTTAAAATAATTACCACATCATACACAAACACACACACACACACGCTGCTAGTGTAAAGCCATTGACTCAGAGAATCATGCGAGAAGTCAAGTTCGAGCGATAATCACACTACTGTGAAATGTGCACTTAAAAACACAAAGTGCATGTGGTTTTTTCAAAAATAAATCAAATCAAAGATATATATATGTGGAGATAGTTATATTTTGATATGGTTGTGTTCTCTGAGCTAACTGGATAGTAGTTAATTTGCGAAGCTTTCATCGCCTCACTACTAGGCGACATCTTCCTTCAGCGCATACTTCAATTTGAATTGAAGTGAGCTTTCAGATTTCTCCACGAGTGAGTTTATTAATCATCTCTCCTGGTCGGTGACCACCTTGGACGTGATTGGTTGTTTTTGTGTGTTTTCACACCCACTCTAGGTTATTTGTATTGTAATTCATTGTTTCTTTGACTTGAACTTTGACCCTTTGTGTGTCAGTGTGTGAGGTTTTTTTTCTTATCGGTTGATAAACTTTGTCTGTCTCGATGTGATCTCACAAGAGAAGAGGAAACAGAGAACCGAATTCCATTTTTAAACGTCTTAGTCAAACGAACAACCACAGGGGAATTAGAAATTCAAGTCTATAGAAAATCAACTCACACAGACCAAATCCTGAATTACAACAGCAACAATCCAATAGCACACAAGAAGAATTGCACACAAACACTATTCAAGAGGGTCAGCCAGTCAGGAGTCATTGCAGCACTCCCACCTTAAGGAAAATTGAAGAAAAATATCTCATGGACGTCTTCCAAAAGAATGGATGGATATCCACGGAATTTCATCAAAGCCAAGCCAACCTATCAAACTAAAAGCCCCCAAGGAAAGCACAAAGAAAATCGCCCTACCATATATTAAGGACATCTCAGAAATCACTACAAGACTCTTCAATACTTTAGGAATTAACGTCGTACACAAACCAACAAAGTCACTTCACTCAGCCAGCCTTGTGTCCACCAAAAGACTCAACAGCGAAAGAAGATAAAACCAACATCATCTACAAAATAGATTGTATCAACTGCGAAAAACACTACATTGGCCAAAGTGGACGTCCCTGCTCTTCGTCTTCGTATCCACGAACATAAGCTAGCTGTCAAAAGACATGATATCCACTCCCTCATATCACTACATACAGATAACCACGGACATCAATTCGACTAGGACAACGTACATATATTAGACAGAGGAAACAACAAGAATGCTAGAGAATTTTTAGAAGCCCGCCTGGTATTCCAGTGAATCATCAATCAATAGACACATCGAGACAGACAAAATATATCAACCGATAAGAAAGAAACGTCACACACACATAAAGGGTCAAAGTTCAAGTCAAAGAAACAATGAATTACAATACAAAATAACCAGTCAAGTCCAAGGTGGTCACCGACCAGGAGAGATGATTAATAAACTCACTTGTGGAGAAATCTGAAAGCTCACTTCAACAAATTGAAGTATGCGCTGAAGGAAGATGTCGCCTAGTAGGGTGATGAAAGCTTCGCAAATTAACTATCCAGTTAGCTCAGAGAACACAACCATATCAAAATCATCCACCTGAGCTACAAATCTTCTCTATGATATCTAGATAGTTATATTAGCTGTCTTCAGAGCACATTATCCATGCTCTCACGCGAACCAGAATCTATCTGTATGGTTGAGTAAAGATGTAATCGAATGCGAAAATAGTGCAGTTATAGCCACTTCTCAGATACTCAACACTCGATAAAACCTGACCAGACGTTCTCAGTTATTCACCGCCTTCCTCACAATCTATCTATCTAGAGGAGCTCGACTACTTCTTCTACCAGTGAGTTATTGGCTGAAGCAGTTCCAAGCATTACCAGAAGACCGACACTTTTTTTTATATACACAAGAAGTATGTTCAACTGTTATGTGTTTACCTTAGCCTATTGTGATAAGGCCAACAAATCCTCCATAAACAACATAAGCACTTCAAATTCCCATCACAAGTTTCTTCTCACCTTCTTCTATTCCTTCAATGTTTCATTGACAAACGTTCAATTTAGACCTTATTTGAGATGATTTCATCAGCCTTCTCATGATTTCTATCAGCTCAGGTTTCACTGGTGCTTTGCTAACTTCTTATCGTATTTACAAAATCCTGTTCATTTCACTTCACTAAATTCCTTTTTATTATCATCAATATTATTAATATGAATATTATTATTATTATATGACAATCATTAATATTTTCGTTATTGTCATCCTTGAACTTATGTCCAGACAAATTATTGAAAAGAATATTCTTAATTAATTAATTAAAATAATAATAATGAAGGTTTCGGCATTCTTCATTCATTCAGGTGGACTGTCTGGCTGGTCAACCTCATTACATTAGTTGGTTGTTTAGCATTTTCTGTAGAATTCACATCGGAAACAGAACAACAACAACAACCAGCAGAAAGAGAATTAGCTGTGATGTTTGTTAGATTGTAAAATAATATTAAAATGGAATAGAAGAAGGAAGGTAGGTAGGTAGGTAGGTAGGTAGAGTGGACATCAGCGTTCATCTCAAAAAGAAAACAAAAAGGGCAACGCATTCTGCTAATCGATATTTAGACTGTAATTCATCTCATCTCATCTTATCTGTTCACTGTCTGTGAAGGCAGGCTTAGTTAAGTTAAGGGTTTAACAAACCGAGCAGTAGCACTAAGTAGTACAAGAAAAGACCTAAATGATGAACTAAAACAGATAGAAGAAGAGCTGGTTGGTGTCAAAGAACTAACTAACTATCCTATAAAATCCATTCGGAAGATGAGAAAAGGTGAAAAGCAAAATAAAATAATAATGGTGAGACTAATAATGATAACTAACATAAATAAGAGAGAGAGAATATAAGGCATCTACAGTAGTTTTACCATATACCATAAGGAGGGGATATCTGAGACACTCACTGCCTACGTAGGATTCTGAATAACAAAGCAGGAATTGGCCTGGTGGTGGCATTTAAAGCCTCCTACAAACAGACTCACTGAGGTAGAAAAAGCCCTGTAGGACCCTGTCGGTTGACCCAATCGGAGTTGGTGCTCAAAAATAAACTTATCCAACTTTTATTACTATGTGAGAAATGAACATATTGTACATTACTTTGTTTTAACCAGAATCTCTGTACTTCGTACTTAACCTCGTGTTTTGAATGAAAATATAGTTCTGCCTACAACTCTCCGTTTTCTCCACCATCTTAACTGCCATCGGCCAATTCTAATTACCTACCTTCTATTTCAAAATTTCTCAGGGACGCCGTAATTTCTCCCTTGGTCGACCTCCGGCAATATCGACACTGGAGAATTAAGATTGGAGCAGTCTTCTTACAATACTTCTGGAGTCTGTTAAGTTAA